CGAGCATTCATCACGCAAGTTGTCAGATGAGGTTGCGACTTCGAGTGATACGAATGCAAAACGAAACGATACGAAAGATGGTGATCCGCCGAAGAAGATTGTGTGCAAGTAAGTTGATTGTTGCATTCGGATCGTTTTCTTTCATGTTTTTTTCTGTGCGGCTTTCATTATTGCGTTGCTGAAATAATCTATTTCCTTAAGCGGTTCTTTCTCCGATCACAGATTTTTCCTTTCGGTGAAGTCTATAGCATCGCTTCAATGCGAGATACACCATTCCGTGATTAATGAGATCGGCCTTACTTTGAGAACACTTCCTGCGGCTATTCAAAAACTGGAAAATTTATTGGTTGCGGAGTTTTTGATCATGAAACATTTACGAATTAAATATGTGAGTGATTATTGTGCTAAAGCGTTTCTGTTTGCAAAAACGTTAATTTTATCCAGAAAATTAACTCTACTTTGCAATCGTGTCACTGAAACACATTCCGTTTAATTGACGAATGATATTTTGTCACATTTGTGTAATGATCTAATTAAATGCCAAATTCATTTAACAGGTACGGAAAGGATTGCTATCGCAAAAGTGCAGATCATCGGCGCAAATACTTTCATCCACTCTAATAGCAAACCTCATGTTGCAGACGCCTCACGGTGCTCTTGCAAATACTGCAGAATACCACAGGTATTGAATGCGTTTGTCGTTTGCATTTCTTAGCAGTCATCTGCATGCTGTTAAGCATATAAGTAAATGATTTAAAATGTAAACTAACCGTTCGTATTCTCTCGCATTGTATTCTTTTTTCACTGTGTTCTTTTGTGTCTTTATAATACATGCTTATTTGAGCCCTTAACTTGGAACTCAAACGTGATTTTGATAAAATTGTAGCCGATGACAGTATGTAATGAAAAGATTATCGAGTAAATATAATCAAATCATGGAAGTGTATAATTAAAAAGTGTTCAGTCAAGTATCGCATAATGAAAGTCCATAATCAAGACGAATGTGTAAAATCAGATCGAGTATGTGATTGTATATTCGAGGCGC